GTTTGGCTATTGTGGACATTGCTGCTATAAACATTGGGGTGCACGTACCCCTTCGGATCCCTACATTTGTATCTTTGGGGTAAATACCCAGCAGTGCAATTGCTGGATCGTATGGTAGACAGCTTAATTTTTGACTAACATTAAATGGGTAGATGGTTCACTGAAGTGAACCCCACTAGCAACGTGATTTTAACCAACATAATTTGGTTGCACAATGGTGAACCTCCAACAAATGTTACAGTGAGAGAACAATGTCCTTTGGCTTCTAAAAATAACTCAGAACCCTGTAACTGGCAACATTTAAAAAAAATACTTAACCTTTCTGGATGACAATTTAGCATATGTAGCTAAAGCCTTAAAAGAATGAATTTTTTTCCTAAACAGTTTTAGTTACAATCCTAGAATATGCCCAAAAGAAATAAAAGAATACAAAACTGTATGTATAAAAGTATTCATTATAACATTGTTTATAATAGCAAAACATTAGAAAGAGCCTATATATCCAATAACAGACGATGGACTAAATTGTAGGAGAGCTATATAAGGGAAAAGTACATAGCCAATAAAAATAATGACATAGGTTTATATTGATATAGAAGGATGATCACGGTACATCTTCAAATGGATATCACAGATTTTAAGAGAGAGAATATATATGATTCTTGTTCTTTCTAAAAATATACAGTATAAATCTATATTATGCCTAACTATATATAAGTATAGTTATCCAAGTACAGACAGATATCCAAGTATAGAAGAATCTATACCAAAATATTAATACATGATTATGTCTAGGTGAAGAATTTGGAGTGGTTTTAAATTTTCTTCTTTGTAATTTTTTCCCTTGTCTTCAGTTTTTGCAACAAGGATGTATTACTTTTATAACCACTAAAGGTTTAAATACCAATCAACCAACCATTGAACCATAAAGACTCTCAATATCTAACTTGGCCCATGTCTTAAGCACTGATGATAACTGCCAGAATGCCCTGGAGCAAAACAGGCAAGTATACTACTTCTCAGGATAAAGGAGAGCCTACAATTCACAAATTAGCCAACCTAGAGAACTTTCAGGGTATGTTATCAGGCATTACTACTTAGCATATCCCTGAGGTCCAGAAATTTGTCAGATAGAGGAAAAAAACTTTACCGATACAAGTTCTTCTTCCCAGAAAGAAAGAGTAAAGGTAATATACATACTTAGAGGTAGGAAAAAACTTACTGCAGTGGATAATCTGGATGCCAATGTCATTTCCAAGTTCCCTTTGAGACCAAGAAGTGCAGGAACTAAAATGAAGACTTCTGTTACCTTTTTGAACACCTCCCAGTGCTGTAAGGGGAAAAAAAAAAACCCAGAATTTTCTGATACTCTTTAAAAAATACTTTAGAAAAAAGACATTTCTAAAAATCTCAGCCTTTTTCCCCAATGTTGCATCTACATTTTGCAATAACAACACAGGTCATTTAATCAGTGAACATTTAGCTTAACTCTATTCTCCAGAGTTCTGGAGCCCTGAGTTGCTTTAGAAGATTGAGTTAAATTGGGAGTGATAGCTGATATAGTCACTACATCCCCAAATACCTCTAGCTTGCTCCACAACTTTGATACCCTTAAATTTTACTTTATCCCTTAATGAGAACAGGAGTCAGTATAACTAGTAGTTAAGAGCACAGACTCAAGAACAAGACCATCTGGATTTGAATCTTGGTTCCAACACTAATTATAACAACTCCACAGGAAAATTATAGTAATGTTTTATTTAATTTCGCAGATGAAGAAATAAAGATTCAGAGAAGTTAAATGATTTTCCCAAGGCCAGAAGATGGACCGAGAATGGACCGAGAATGGACCTCGGGAGTTCTGAGTCATCCCATGCTCTGGTTCCCATTTTAGGGTGTGAGGCAAGAGGCTGCAGTGCACAGGATCAATAAAAAAGCACTAAATTGGAAATTAGAAAATTTGTGATTCTAGGCACAGATCTGTCATACCTAGCTGCATAATCCTGGATGAGTCATGTGACTTTCAGATCTCCATTTCTTCATCCATGAAATGAAGATACTGTCTGCCCTGTCTAGCCCTTGGGAAACTACCATGATAATGAAAATAACATGTTAAAGTACTTTATAAAGTGAAAAAAACCACACAAATCACTTAATAACACAATCTGCTACTTTACTAATGCCATTAAGAAGTGAATGTCCCAGTAAGAGACTTTATGGACCAACATATTGATTTATGCCAAAAAATATCAAGAATGCAGCTTTGTCATTACTACCAAAACAGGTGAGAGAAGTAAAACTTAAATCCACCAGATAAATAAAAGAAAAATTCAATTTGTCCCCAAAGTTGCCCTAGAGGTTGTTTCAAATAGATATAGAACTAGGACCTAAAGAGGTTAGGAAATGTTTATCAGATCAGTCTTTGGTGGTAAAATCCTGGTTCAAAGGATATGCAAGGGAATCCCTCCAGGGTTCAAGCCAATTAAGGATGAGCCTAAAAAAAGCATAGAGGGCCTAGTTGATCCCAAATGTCTTAACCTCCTAAAAAACTAAGAAATAATCTTTCCATGTTGTACGATGGGTTAAGAATTCTGCTGTGCTAGTGGGATATGCCTCCTTCAGAGATGTGAGTGGTGGTGGTGATAATGATGACGATGAAAAAGATAATAATACTAACAAATATTAACAATATTCAACATCCACTGATTGCTTGGTATGTGCCAGGCACTGTTTTCTTTCGGTTTACTCATTTAAGCTTCACAACAAACCTATGAGATAGGTATTATTTTTAACAATTCAGGAATACATTTTACCTAGGTCATCATTTTAAGATACCTAGCTATATGACTTAATTTTAGAAACATAGAATAATATGCAAATATCTCTATCAGTCTAGCTCCTACATGTCATCACACTTTGGATCTGTTTGGATGAACTCCTTTTGGTTACTCCCATCCTTTCCAAGTTCAATTCAAATCAAATACTCCCATGAGAATTACTGTGAAGTCACTATTACCTTAGCATTCCTATAATAAGAACTCTCCATTATTGATTTCCTATCTCATACCAAATAAATTCTATATTCTTTTCCCTATACCTGCAGAGGTGTGCTTCTAGAAGTTCCCAAACTTTCTCAGTTTTCATGACACCCCTAGGCTAAAAGAAACACCTAAAGGTCCTATTTATTAAGGAGTTGGTCCAAACAACTAACAAGTTATTTATTTCCTAACAATTTAGTAGCCATTTGTAGAAATAATACAAATACACTGAAAACAATATTTTATGTCATATCACCATAATTACTTATTAACGGGGTGTGTGTACCTGTTGGTCACTGCACAACTTCTCAAGCCTTGGAACTGGACACTGACACCTTCATTTCTTGTTCTATATTGGTTTTTGTGTGACACTTGCTTTTTTTCACAGCACCACTGAAAATCTAGTCATCAAGAGAAATGTGTGATGCAATGTGGAAGTGTTGAACCACCTTGAGTTTGTAGAGTGTCCAAGAAATATCATTGTGCTTCCTTCAAAATTGTTTAAAAATCCCGCAGCAATCCTGGAGTGTCCAGAGACAGCATTTGGGATATTTGAAAGTAGTGAGAAGCAATACAGTACTTAACTCAAAGAGAAGGGCTGGGGCGCCTGGGTGGCTCAGTTGGTTAAGCAACTGCCTTCGGCTCAGGTCATGATCCTGGAGTCCCGGGATCGAGTCCCACATCGAGTCCCACATCGGGCTCCCTGCTCAGCAGGGAGTCTGCTTCTCCCTCTGACCCTCTTCCCTCTCGTGCTCTCTGTCTCTCATTCTCTCTCTCTCAAATAAATAAATAAAATCTTTAAAAAAAAAAAAGAGAAGGGCTTCAGGGTCAGATTATCTAGGTTGGAATTCTGACTCTTTACTTTTACTGTGTGACTTGTGTGATTGTGTGATTCACTAAAGTTTATTTAACCATTCAACTGTTGAAGGTTACCTGGGTTGTATCCAGTTCTTGGCTATTATGAATAAAGTAGCTATAAACATTCACGTACAGGATTTGTGTGAACATAAATCTTCATTCTCTGGCATAAATGCCCAGGAATGCAATTGCTAGGTTACATGATAGTATCTAGTTTTAGTTTTTGTTTGTGTGTGTGTTTGTTTTTAAGAAACTGTCAAGGGGTGCCTGGGTGGCTCAGTTGGTTAAGCGCATCAGACTCTTAGTTTCAGCTCAGGTCATATGATTCCGGGGTCGTGAGATGGACTCCCCCCGCCCCCCAAGGCTCCGCACTCCACATGGAGTCTGCCTGTCCCTCCCCCTCTGCTCCTCCAACTCATGCATGCATGCGTGCTTTCTAAAATAATAATTTTTAAAAATCTTAAAAAAAAAAAAGGAAACTGTCAAGGTATTTTCCAGAGTAGCTGTTCTGTTTTAAATTCCCATCAGCAATGTATGAGTGATACCATTTCTCTACATGCTTAACAGCATTTCAAAGTTTTACTATTTTTATTATAGCTATTCTGATAGGTGTGTAGTGATATCTCAGTGATTTTCATTTGCATTTCTCTAATGGCTAAAGATATTGAACATCTCATGTTTATTTGCCATCTGTACACACTCTTTGGTGAAATGTCTTTTTGCCAATTTTCTCATTTTTTTAACTGTTGAGTTTTGAGAGTCCTTTATATATTCTAGTCTTTTGTCAGGTATGTGCTTTGCAAATATTTTCTTCCACTCGGCAGCTTGGCTTTTTATCCTTTTAATAAGGTCATTCACAGAACAAAATTTTATTTGATGAAGTCCAATTTATCCATTTTTCCTTTTATGGATCCTGCTTTTGGTGTCAAGTCTAAGAAATCTTTGCCTAGCCCTAGATACTGAGAATTTTCTACTATATTTTTCTAAAAGTTTTCTAGTTTTACATTTCATATTTAAATGTGTGATCCATGTTGAGTTTTTTTTAGTTTATTTTTCAATAAAGACTTCGGTTGAGGTTTATTTCTTTGCCTATGGATGTCTAATTGCTTTAGCACCATTTGCTAAAAGGGCTTTTTTCTCCATTGCACCTGTCTCAAAAATTAGCTGAACATATTTGTGTGGGTCCATCTCTGGGCTGTCTATTCAGTTGCACTGATCTACATATCTGTCCCTCCACCAATACCACAGTCTTGACTACTGTAGCCATGTTAATCAGCTTGACATCAGGTAAATTCATCCTTCCCCCTTTATTTTTATTTTTCAAACCGGTTAAAGCTATTCTATTTTCTTTTCCTTTGCATATAAATTTTAGAATATTATCTACAAAAAATCTGGAGTTTAAAAGGTTCTGTTAAACCCATATATCAATTTGGGGAAAACTGACATCTTTATTATGTTGAGTCTTCCAAGCCATGAATATGGCATGACTCTCCATTTATTTAGATCATCTTTGGTTACTTTCATAAGGGTTTTATAGCTTTCGGCATACAAGTCCTGTACATATTTTGTTAGATTTATATATAGGTATTTATTCTTTGAAAAATGTTATTGTACCTTTAATTTCAATGTCCACTTATTCATTGTAGTGTATAGAAATAGAATTTATTTTTTATATGTATTGTGTATCCTGTGACTTTGCTGAACTCGTGTCAGTTCTAGGAGCTTTCTTTGTAGATTTCTTGGGATTTTCAAAGTAGGCAATCACATCATCTGCAAATATCATGTTTTAGTTTTCCTTACAAATCTGTATGCCTTTTTTTTTCCCCTTGCCTTACTGCACCGTGTTCAATAAAGGTAATGAGTGCAGACAGCCTTGCCTTGTATCTGGTCTTAGGGAAAAGACATTCATATTTCACAATTAAGTATAATGCTGAGGAAATTCCACTCTATTCCTAATTACCTGAGTTTTTATCATGAATGAGTGAATTTTGTCAAATGCTTTTTCTGCATCAGTTGTATTATCATGTGATTTTCTTCTTTAGCCTGTTAATATGGTAAATTACATTAATTTTCAAATGTTGAGCCAGACTTGCTTCCCTCACTTGTTCATGGTGTATAATTCATTTTTTATATTGCTGAACTCTATTAGCCAGTGTTTTGTTAAGGATTTTTGTTTGTTTATATACAGGAGATTAATCTGTAGCTTTAAAGAAAATTGCATCGTCTCTGGTTTTGGTATCTGGATAATACTAGCTTCTTAAAGCGAATTGAAAATTGTTTCCTCCTCTTCAATTTTCCAAATGAGCTTATATAGAATTAGTGTTAATTCTGCTTAAAACATCTGATAGAATTTTCAGGTGAAACTACCTGGGTCTGAAGGTTTCTTTTTTAGGAGTTTTTTTAAATTACACATTCAATATCCTTAGTGGGTACA